AAACTACCCTGTCCCCTACCTTGCTTCCCTAGTTCCATAAAATTGACATTTTCGATTTCGAGTTAAGACACAAAAATGGTTGTTATAACCGAGTAGCTGATGCTTTGTCTTGCCACCCAGAGTACATGACTTGCTTTGTCAAACCCTATGACTTCCGGAAGAAACTGAAGGAGGAGCTCGTAGAGCACACCGCCCAAAAATCTGGAGCTTAGCCCCATCCTTGAGCGGCTACGGGCTGACCCTAGCAGTCAGCCTGATTTTCACGAGTATGGAGGACTGATTTTCCGTCGCTACGGGAACCACGACCGTTTGTGTGTGCCCAACCATGAGCCTCTCCGCACGCATTTTCTGGATTTGGCTCATGGCCGAAGTGGACACTTCGGCATGGCAAAGACGTACGCAAATCTACTGCGACAGTTTGATTGGCCTGGCATGAAAGGGACTGCTGAAAAGCTTGTGGCTGAGTGTCAAGTCTGTCAACGAATCAAACCATGCAGACAAAAGCCCATGGGGCTACTCGCACCCCTTCCCATTCCCGATGGTCTCGGGGAGTCTGTCTCCGTTGATTTCACCGACATGGGAAAGGTAAGTAAGAACGGCTACTCACAAGTCATGGTGATTGTTGACCGATTCTCTAAGTTTCTCAATGATCCCTTTGTCGTCGCACGCCCCAACAAAATTAGTGATTCGTGAGTTCCAACAGAAGTACATTCTGCAGTTCGGAACCCCAAAGACTCTCGTAAGCGATCGGGACCCACGCTTCATTAGTACGCAATGGAAGGACTTCATGTCTCATCTGGGGATCAGGCTGTGTATGACATCTGACCGACACCCTGAAGCCAACGGTTTGGCTGAAGAAATCAACCAGACTGTGTTCCAACTTCTTCACGCTTTGATTATCCCCGATCAGGAAACATGGAATGAAGAGTTGTATTCCGTTAGGGGGTTGTACAACAACTCCATCCATTCTGCCACCGACATGGCACCTAACATGCTGCATCTCGGTTGGCAGATCCGTAATCCGCTCTCCTACCTATTCCCCGAGCACCCAGTTGGCTTAACACCCGGCAGGCCTGGCTTCAGGGCCAAGTATGATCGCTTGCTCAAGGTTGCCATTGCAGCCATGACCAAGCGACAGCATGCCATGATCCACCAGGCGAACAAGGGGCGCCGATCGTCGGACATTCAGGTAGGAAGCTATGTCTGGGTCAAGATGTCTGAATTCTCAGAAGAAGAAGGGGTCTCTCGCAAACTTCTCCCACTCTACGGACCATGGGAAGTTTTGGATGTGATTGGCGAAGACCACTTTGGCCCTTCGTACGTAGTTGATGTGCCAGCCCATCTGCGCACGTACCCCGTGTTCCATGCATCGAAACTGTACCTCCACCGTGATGCTAAGACGTTCGATTATTGAGAAGACATGATCCCTCGTGCGATCAAAGGCGGGCATGAGATAGACAGAATCAAACAGCACGTAGGGAAGGGACGCAACAGACAGTACCAGGTTCACTTCATGTATCACCCATTAGATGATCTGTATTGGATCTCCAAACAGGAACTGCTACGCAGCGCACCTCGCGTTGTCAAAGCCTACGAGCGACAAATCGCCACTAACGCTGTACCTAAGATCTCTGCAAGACTCACTGCAACGGAGTACTCTAGGAACCTCTTTGCCTTGCTTGCTTACGATGCGTTTGTCGAGGACTCAGAATGAGTTACTCGCTCGAAGGGACCTCGCTCTTGAGGGGGGAGTAGTGCGATGACCCGTCCAAACATGGACTGAAACACACAACTGATTTCTGAGTTTTGCCCATAGACTGAATGCCCTGCTGAGTTTCCCGCTTGCTACTAAGTCTGTGTGTGCACGCTTGCTGGACTGCATGCCTGTCTGAGTGCTGGTTGGCTTGAGTGTGTGTGTGGCCTGCAAGGGCACTCGCTCGTTCATTGGGCCCTCAGGGCCGGTACTTACCTGTGGCCGTGACATTGAGGGATTGCAGCAGGAAAAACACTCAAGTAGCGGGTAGGCCGGTACCGCACCCTGAAGGGGTACTGGAGGCCGAGCAGAAGAAGACAAAACTGGCTTTTTTTTTTTTTTTTTTTTTTT